ACTCTTGGAAGATAAGTGTGTTTGTCTTCCACTTGTAAATTTTCTACTGATGAATTAATGAAAGTGTTATTGATCAAAAAAATAAAAAAGGGGGCGGGGGGGTCTGAGGGGCGAAGCCCCCCAATTAAAGGGGCAGGGGGCAAACCATTTTCTTTCCCCTTATCTTTTCTTCCCTTCCCTTTTCTTTTCTTTTCTTTTCTCTTTTTTTCTTCTCTTTCCTTTCCTTTTCTTTCCCTTTCTTTTCTTTTCCTTTCCTTTCCTTTCCTTTCCTTTCCTTTTTTTCTTTTTTCTTTTTTTTCCTGTATTTTCATATCAGGTGTGCATGAGGCGCAAGAGGCGTACGCCTCTAACACACCTCATGAAAAAAGCACAAGAGGCGTACGCCTTAGAGGTATCAGCGCCTCTAGCATACTCCTCAGGGCATTTTGGGAGAGCCTCGCCTGGAGGCGCCTCCAAGCGTACGCTTCCCACGCCTTTTAAAACACTGCAGTTTAGGTTAACCACTCCTTCCTCGTTGCCTCCCTCACAAAAAGAAGATTGTGTCATCTGCAAAATTGGAGGTGGGTAACAACTACTTATTCCTACCTATCCTCCACCCTCTAATCAGTCCTTGGAAATCAGCTTTCACCACCATTCTGCTTAACACTTCAGCCACTAAAGTGAAGAGAAAAGGGGATAAGGGGTCTCCTTGCCTAATTCCTCTCTCAAGCGGAAAGAAATCCTTCACTACACCATTAATAAGAATTGAGTAATGGACAGAACTTAAACATCCTCTAATCCAAGATCTCCATTTGGTTCCAAAACCCAACCTTTCTAACGTTTGAAGGAGAACTTCCCAGTTAACCAGATCATAGGCTTTCTCTAGGTCCACTTTGCACACCAACCCTTTTCCTCTACCCTTTCTTTTTTCTGCAACACACTCATTGGCTACTAAAATTTGATCCACAATCAGCCTTCCTTCCACAAAGGCACCTGGGAAAGGTGAGATGATCGAGGCTAGCGCTTTCTTGATCCTTTCTGAGAGAACCTTTGAAATAATTTTGTATACACTCCCAACAAGGCTAATTGGCCTATAATCTTTAGGAGTTTTTGCCTCCCTCCTCTTCGGGATTAAAGTGATAAAAGTGGCATTCACCCCTCGAGACACCTCTCCTTTGAGAAAGAATTCATTGAACACTTCTAGAATATCAGTTTTCAGCCAATCCCAGCATTCTTGAAAGAAGGCCATTGAAAATCCATCCGGCCCAAGGGCTTTAGATCTTTCCATGGAGAAGATTGCATCATTGATTTCTTCCAAAGTAAAGTTCCTTTCAAAAAAAGAGAATGCTCTTCTAAAAGCCTATCCCCTTCCATTTCTGGTAGCTCTAACGACACTCCGCTTGAATTTGTGAAAATTTCCTTGAAGTGGTTTACAAAGATCCTTGTGATCTCCTGGCTCTGTCTTATTTCTTGAACTCCCCCCCCCCTCCTCCACACTAAGGATCAAATTTTTCTTTCTCCTTCCGTTTGCAATTGCATGGAAAAACTTAGTGTTGCCATCTCCTTCAACAATCCATTGACACCTTGATTTCTGCCTCCAACAGATTTCCTCCTTCCTTAATATCTCTTCCAATTCTTGCTTGAGTTTCCAGCAATCCTCTCTCTTCTTCTAATAAATTTGTGATAGCCTCTTTCTTTTAATCACATTATAAGTTTCCTTTTTATACAAATAATAAAGCAAATGATTAGTGACAAAGACTAGTCGCATGTAATTCAAGTGATTGGCTAACTTATACCATCAACCTGTCCATGGTCTAATAAAAAGTTAATGCAATCTAATGTACCAAAATACAGCCATGGGAAATGAGTAAATTAAGTTACTAGAATTCACTTATTGTCATATCCAAACAAACAAAGAGGAACATTACATTCTTTGTGCGCAGTGTGTTGATGACTGATGATTTTCCAACATTAGGATACCCAACAAATCCCACGGATATTGCTTGCTTGTCACTTTTCAAACGGGCAAATTGCCTCAATACAGATAAAAGAGAACCCTGTTAAACAACAAAACAAAAATACATTTAAAAACTCAAGAAAATGGCACATTACCATCAAACTTCACAAAGCAATAGTAGTAAGGCCCAAAAGAAAATTGTGGTTAGACATTACCTTGCCAAAGGACTTATTGATGCTTGCATGAAATGCTAGGGTAGGATATTCCTTAGATAAAACACGAAGCCATCCCTTTGTAGCCCATGCAGGAACCAAATCACACTGAGAAACAAGGTAAAAATTTAAACACACAGCTTGTAAAGGAAATCATAGAAGAACAAATTTGATCTAAGAATCACAAAATTTCCTTAGGCAACTGACCTTGTTTAGCAAAAGAACCATGTGTTTATGCTTGCAATGCTCTTTCAAATGCTTTTCTAGATGATAGCATCTTGTACCTTGTGGGTCCCTAGCATCCAAAACCTATAATGGAATAAATTGAAGGTTCTACTGGCAAAAGGAAACAAAAATAGAAAAGAGAAATAATGGAAAAGAGAGAAAAAAAACACTGGATGATATTCCAGCAGCACAGAAATGTTTGGTGGAATAAATAGTACCAGGAAATCTATTTGGCTGAAAGTTGACTCTATCTTTTTCTATCAGTAAAAAATAAAGTTTATTTTATCTAATGATGTTGACCATGCAATTATCAACATTTTCTTGAATTCTCCACTATATTACCAACCACCTATATGAACCAGTAAGTAGGGTCACAGATGATGGATCCCACCATCATGCAGCACTTGCCTAGCAAGTATTAGCATGTGTCTAAATTTTACCAGACAAATGATAGAAATTCCTATAAAAGAACATTATGTTACAAACATAAGCTAATGCAAGTGATGTTCATCACAAATGGGAGTTAAAAGCGTTAACATTCTTGAAATGTTGTCACTTGTTTACTGTAAGGTATGACATTTTGAAATAGTGAACAAAAACTCACTTGGACAACGACATCTGAAGAGTCTATCACTTTATAAAGTTCGCCCCAAATACGTTTACTTTGTCCCTTCTCAAACATTGTATGCCGAACCAGGTCCCTAAATCCATCTCCTTCACTTTCTTCGACAGATTCATTAGATGCAACTCTTTGCTCATAAGCATCTTCAAAATTGAAAAAAACAAAATTACAATCCTCATAACCATCTTGAAATAAACAAATAGTACAATAAACATAACTTATAAAATAAAAATGCTTGCTGGTTTGTCATATTGACAAAAAACACACAATAATCCACTTATACATGTGTCTCTGGTTCATGCATATTTACTGAAAAGACAAAACCATAATGAATTGGAGCATCTAATAATCAAATGGCTCGAGTTGGAAAACACTATCTTTTATTGAGCAAAGGTAAAGTATCATTGTATTGATATAAAGGCCCTTTGTACAATGAGAAGCTGTACACATCAAAACAGAAGGACCTCAAAAAAAGTCCATCCTCAAAATATTACAGTCAGAAATATCCCCTTTAAATTCAGTAAGTATAGACAACCAACTCCTAACTAAACCTACAGCCAAATTGATGACTTCAGCTGCAGTAGAGAATTTAAGATCAAAGACCCTACTATTCCTTTCTTTCTAACCACACTGCCTACATTATTGCTAAGGGAATGGAAGACCAGCAAAATTTTCCTTTCTTAGTCATCCCCCGGATCTGCCAAGCCTCCATGCAGGCTTTAACTGAGGCTGGCATACACCAACTTACCTTCAGACTTCTTAAGAAATGGCTTCAGATCACTGAGGCAAAAGTGCAGTGCAAAAACAGATGATTTACTGATTCTGTTTCCCCACCACAGAGGCTGCACCTCAGGTCACTGCAATTAAAACCTTTTCTTACCAGCATCTCTTTGGTGAGACATTTTTCCAAGGCTGCCCATCATACAAAAAAATTTAACTTAGAGGGAGCCACTGTCCCCCAAATGGCCTGGCTTGGGAAGGGTGTTTCAAAACCTCCCCTTGGCAAACACTATCCCAAAAATAAAAAAATAAAAATAAAGATGAGAACAGAAAATTAGAAATTTAAAAAGAAAAACTGAAGTTGAAAATGAATCTATCAATTATCTTTGCACATAGCAATTGGATTTTCCCCTTACCCTGGGATCCATCTGCTTTCTTAAGCAGAGACTCATAGTCAGAAGCCAAAAGCTTTGGACGTTTCCTCTTCTTCTTAGGTCCAAATGTGTCCTCAAAAGGTTCGGTATCCAAAAGATGAGCCCTAGCTTGCTTAATAGTCATAAAAAGATCAAAGTTAGCAGAAGAAATTCATCAATAAATTTGAGCTTAAGGCTCTGTTTGTTTACAGTGCAAATCTGAACCAGTACCCTCTGTTTGTTTGTAACTATTATTTGCACTCTTACCCGATACAAAATATGTACTTTCTGTCTCATTTACACTTAGTGGCAGTGCAAATTTTGCATCCCAAATATTGATACAAGTTTGCACACTTTCCTACTTCACTCCAAAACAAAAACTCTCTTCTTACACCCACTCTGCTTCATATAACGTGATGATTATTTCACTTCCCGTTTGAGTTCTCACAATTCACAAACAAGACAAAGTCAAAACTGAAAAAGAAGTAAACCAGAATTTACACTCAACCTATTTGCACTGTCATGAATTAAAGCTGGTTCAAATGAAATTTGCACTGCAAACGAGCCTGTGATAATAAGAAATCATCCACAGAAACTCGCCATTAAGTCAAACAAACAAGGGGAATTTATAGTTACCTCTAGATATCAGACATTAAAAACAAGAGAGGTAAAAAAGAAGAGAGTAGGAAAAACTTGTACCTTCTGGTGATCATTTAAAAGTGACATAGGCAGTTTCCTCTCCTTCAAGATGACATTATAGTTGCTTGACAATCGATTTTGGAGTTCTTCACGAAAAAACTCAAGCTCTTTCTGGTTCACAACTCTGGTATTACCTGTAAAGTTCAAAAAGCAATTAAGCTAAGTTGACTAACAATTATTAACTTTTTTGGGTGGGTTAGGGTGGGAAGAGGTAAGATAGCAAATTATTCAAGGCAAACAAACTAATATACTCAGCAACGTCCACAAGAAAGTTGACAACAAGGTTTAAAATATCAATATGATATGATATCAGGCGCATCGCATCATATCTTTGGGACACCAATACGCTCAAATCAAGGGGTTTTGGGTTGTTTCAGGGGGTAGCCAAGCCTAAGATCAATCCCCTGTCAAGTTTTTGGGAAAAACTAAAAAAAAGGGGGAGCATGCCCCTTGAAACACCCGATATGCATGTTCGTGCATATTAATACTTTGAACCATGGTTGTCAAGGTTCTTTCATTAAGAATAACAAGTATAAGAAACTCACTTTTAAAACTTTTATTCATTTATTCATTATTTTATTCTTCAGGGTTCCTTTATAAGAGCCAAGTGAATCCTAATCAAGGGGTATATTGCTAATGACTGCCTGAACTGAACATGTGCACACACCACTAAACCAGGGAGGAAACCATGTCATATGCAAGAATGATAAGGAGGAAGAAGCCTAAGCCCATATAAATTTCAATTCAAATATTAAGGAAAATAGGCTCTGGACTAAAATGGAGGAAATGGGTAAGTGTATGTATCAACATCCCAAGGAAATCCTATGTAATGCCTCACATGATAAACTCCATTGTTTAAAGTACATTAATGCATTTCATAGCAGTGGGAGGCATATTGATAAATAATTCTCTTCTGGCTCTTTTCCCCCTCTTTTTATTTATTTATTTTCTTCGGAACAGCTACAGTGCCAAATGCATTTTGTAGCCAGTTGTGGACTACTATACTAATTGGCATGTTAGAAATCAAACTAGTTATCATGTGGAGGTGAAATTGCTTGGATTTGTTATTATTTTGTCTTTGTGACATGCGGGTATTAGTCACAATTCCATTTATAAATTTCAATCTAGGGCTGTCAATGGGTCAGTTCCAGTTATTGCTTGTCCCGAACCAATTAGGACCTGAGCCAATTATTTTATTAAATATATATAATGCTTTCCTAATTTTATTATATTTCATGTCTCAAATGGTAAATTTGATAGATAATATATATATGATAATATGTTAAAAAATGTTTAATTTATTAACGTATAAACAATTTAGTATTTTACTCTCATTTTTATTAAGATTACATTATCAAATTTTATGTTTTAAGTTATCATTTAAATAAATAAATATAGTTTTCAGAATAATCGGGTAAGACCCGATTGACCCGATTATTAATTGGGACAGTTCTGGGTCTGTTCTTTTGTCCTGTTAATAATTGGTTCAGGATCAGTTCTACCTAGAACCGACCCAGACCTGACCCATTGACAGCCCTAGTTCAATCTACATTGAGTTCACCCCTGCTTTTATAATTCAAATAAATAATTCTTTTATGCTCCCTTCGTTTCAAAGTAAAGGGACAGAAACTTTTTCAGACTAAAATATTTCAGTTACATCAAAACAAAATACAAGGAGGGGAAGATAGTTTCCACCATAAAAAGGGGAGGAAAAAATAATTCAGGTATTACAGTCTGAACATTTTCCATCCATTTTACAGAGAAAGCAGCCCAATCAAAGAAATAGGATGCTCATGGCCAAAAGAAAAAATAATTAAAATAGATATACCAAATGGAGAAGAGATGAATGCCCATTTACATTAATTTGATCTGTCAACGGTGGGACGAGGTGTTTTTTTTTCCTAGTATTGTTGTTCTGTGACTGAAAAGTTCAAGAGATACAAACAACATCAATTTAGTCGAACTAAACTAACTGTCATTCACTGTAGCTTATATTCGATCCGTTGGGCTCTTTCAATTAGTTTAATATATGATAAAGAATTCCCTCTTTATTAGAGCTTTTAAACAGAGAAAGAAAAAGAGGTGAAGTTAAAAATATAACAAATAAACTTCACTCACCAAACCAACGACGATCAGGCTGGATCCGCGTAGATGGTAATTCCTTCGACTGCAATTCGTGCTTCAAAATCTTTCCTCTTCGGTCGCGCTTCGGCCTAGAATTATACATCTTAAGGCGCCGCACAGTGGCTGAGCTTCGGGAATTGTTACTCTCATTCTCTCGGTTGACGTCCAGGGAATGCTTCGGCTTCCCAGACACATTAACCTTCTTTTCCTTCTTCTTCACCATCTTCGCTACCCTGTAACAAGTACAGCTAGCAATCATAACCTAACACAAAAGGCATAGCTTCTCTTCTGTAAAGCATTACAAGCTCAACTTACCGGTCTACGCCAAAACTTAAGCCCTAAAATGCTCAAACTGTCTCAAGTGTCGTCTGAAGCTAGGGTTTTTCTCGGCAGTCCAGACTCCAGAGTCCCCAGACTCCGCAGCAGGAAACTAGGGTTTCCAAAAAGAGGAAGCGAAATATGCTGGGAGGGACACTTGAAGTGGGTAACGCCAAGGCGGTAACAGAATAAGTTGGTCAATTTTAAAGTTAATCATGGGTAAATATGTCATATCATATGCCTAACATTTCTGTTCTCTGGTTAAACACGTGTAAGTAAGGGAAGAATTGTTCTCCATAATGACCTAAATACCCTCGTTTAAGACACATTCTCTCCATGAACCCAAAAAGTAAATAGACACATTCTTTCGCAATTCCGTGTCTCTTTCTCAAGTCTCCGCATTCGGTATTTCTATATTCTATTTCGCTTTTCGGAACCATCTTGACTCCATTTGGTTTAGATTTTCGCGCTCTGTGTTGAAGAAAATGTTGCCTCAACAATGGACGTCTCCATGCGGGAATCAATGCACGGCCAAATACGCAGCTCTCATGCAGATCCCATGTAACACATCTTCATTTCAGTCTCTGTTTCATCTCCATCTCACTATGTATATTTTTCTCTCTTTTTTTTCTTTCTTTTGGCGAAAATATTGCTTTTTTGTGTCCTCTAATGGGTTTTATATCTCAAATCTTTGTTACTTTGTCGATGTAGGTTTCTTCCGTCTTCTCTTTTTTTCATATATTTTGAAAATCTTGACGTTTATGTAGTCATTGATGGTTTCTTTTTACAATTCGTAATGGAAAAAAGAAAACCTTAGCTTGTTAATTCACATATTGTTTTAGGTTCTTGGTTTGTTTTCAGTAGAAAACATTTGTTTTTCAAACATTGTGAGGATTGATCTCAATGTAGTGTGTCTTTCCCTTTATGACTTGTCGAATGTACCCTTGGACGGTATCAAAAAATTGCATTCTTCAAAATCGGTGATCTGTCGTTATTAATGGGGACCATAAGGGTTCGTTGCTTAATTGCTACTTTTGCAATTAGTCCTGAGAATTTTATTGTGCCGTTTTATACTCGTAAATATATACCCATGTACATATATGCTTATGGCAGGATTCACAATTACTTGCTTGCTAGATGATCCTATACAGCCTTAGTCTTCCACCATATATAGTGCAAATAGTAGACGGTTTGATCCTTTGACCAGTTGTTGGATGAGGTATGGTGAAAAAAAATGTATTCAATCATGCCCATATGAGTTGGCTATTTAATTGGAATTACTTTCAGGCTAAGAGTTATACGACTATGTTGAAGATGATGATATATGATGCATCAACTCTTTTAAGCTATGATACCAAGGCAATGGTTGATGTTTGCAAAGAGGGCATGTGAATGTGAGATTGACCACAGTTACCTTGTTCTTGGTTCGATCCACTGTCTATTATCTGCCATTTTCTCTAGCCTATTTGGGTGTATAATTGCATGCTCTTCTGCATATGTGAATGTGACCAACATGCCAATTCAGATGGTTAAATCACTTCAACAAGTGGGTCGCCTAATGGATGGATAAATGAGGACAATCACATGTATCCATCTAGGTTATATATTAGCCTTTTTTAGCAACTCCAAGGAATTGCTTCAGATTGAAAGATTAAGGGTCCTCCACACTACAAGATGTGGCAAATCTATTGAACATTCAAATTGGTGATTCAGTGGGTTCTTATCTAAGTTTTGCTAAGGTTGAGGGATCTCAAGTTCCTCATAAATGTTTTCATTATTGTACACAAAAGATCTTAATGAATTTTTGTAATCTCCAATTAGTGTGTGATTGATCATCTACATGTTACTGTCAAAATTATCCTCTTTCTATAGGCCCAGGAAATTCTTATTTTGAGATTTTTATTCTTTATTACTCTTTACAATTGAACTGTATTTTTTGAATCTGAGATATTATTTAATAACCTCTGCTATATTCTTATAGGGAGAGTCTTCTGCAAAAAAGGTTGTGATAGCGATGGAGACACATGGGAAGAATGTAAATATTATCTTGCCAATGCCCTGTATAAATAATTATGTAATCACTCATTTGTGCTAATATAGAGATCTGTTTAGGCTCCATTTGGGACAGGTGCAAATACAAAAATGTTTAGTACAAATGCAAATATGTCTAGTTCATAAAAATGCAAAGTTGGTTTAGTTTTATAATGATAATTTTGTATTCTTGCTAAATAATTTTTAGTTGTGATAGGTACAAACATGAATCCCGAGACTAGAATCCACCTTTTTTACATTGACCAACTTTGCTATATTGAACGCAAACATGTCTTGGAATCTGTATTTGCTGTCATTTTCAATACACAAATGCATCCTTACCAAACACCAGCAAAACTAAACCAGAGTGCAGATATGCACTGAACCGCCCTTTGCACTCTTCCCAAACAGAGCCTTACTTTTTCTGAAACTTGTATATATTTTTGTTTCTCATAGATAAGATACTGTTGGTTTGATGTCAAAATAGGGACAACTTAATTACATTTGACCTTTACAGTGGAACATATCATTTCTTTGAAGCTTCATTCAATCGTAAACACGAAATCGTGTGATGGAAATCTAATGATAGTATTTCTTTATGTTCACCATCTTGCTTGCATCACCTCCAATTGCTATTTCATTGGTAGTACATATGGAACGGTTAACGATATGAAATCAGTGATGGAAACTTTTTATTAAACTAAAGTGGACCCCTGCTCATCAGACAGTGCAATGGCAGGGAAGAAAACAGAGTACATACAAAGACAGAACACTGCTGAGAAAACACTCCGAAGAAAAAAACAATACAGCTACAGACAATGATATGAAGACGTTCAACAATGGGTATAACAGTTTTTGGCAATTTGGGAACAGTGGTAAATCCAATTAATGCATGCATCAAGTACTGGGGACTCTTCAAAATAAATGGGGAACTAAGTGAGGTAACTGATTGGGTTCTATACAACTTTGTTACATCAGGCGGTTGGAAAACTACTAAGTGGCAACTTAGCCCCTTAGTCTTGAAATATTTGATTGGTACATAATTGGGTTTTTGGTCTAATAGGTCTTCAATCACTCCCTAATCCGAATGATTTAGGAGTAATGGGAGAAACAAATAAAAAATTACTGGAAAATGGGAAGACAAATATGAATGACAAACATATAATCTTGTTTTATGTTGATATACTGAACAGGATTCTTTTTGTTGTATGATGTAGACTAGGGACATCAATGCACTGGTTTTGGATTGGACCCCATCCAAACCAAAATCAATTTGGACAGATTGGACGGACCAACAAGACATATTGAATTGGACCAGTCCAGATTTAATGGTCCAAAGTATTTATGGGATTGGATTGGACCTGGTTCATCCATAATGAATTTATATTGGATTTAGAGGTGTAAATCAGGCCGTGTGGCCTGCAGTTCGGCACGATTTTGAGCTGGCCTGGCCCAATGGTCCACGGGTTGTGTCGCGGCCCAGCACAATAGTATGGGCCAATGGGTCATGCCAGGCTTGGGGTTTCAGGTCAGCGGGCTGGGCTGGCACGGCCCGCACTGTCGTGCCATGCTGCCCGTGGCCCATATATATTATACATATATTTATATATATAATATATTATATAATATTTATAAAATAAACATTTTTTTCAATTTTATTATAATATTTTATTTAATTATTATATATATAAGCAATTGTATACATCAAAATTCATATAAAATTAAAATTTTAAATTTTTCTTTCAATTTTTTTAAATAAATAACTTTGGCCTGGCCCACGGCCCGGCCCGGCACAGGCCAACACGGGCTCGGGTCGTGGGCCAACCCCCAAAATATCCCAGGGGAGGGAGGCACAGCCCACGGGTCACCCACCCGGCACAGCCCGTTTTACACCTCTAATTGGATTGGATTGAGCCAGTATCTGGTCCATTGATATAAGATAAGAATATAGGTGTCAATGGACCAGGTTTGGGTTAGAATTAATCCAAATTAAAACAAATTTGAATAGATTGGGCGGTCCAGATATTGAATTTGACCAGTCCAAAATGGTCCAGAATATTCATTGGATTGGATTGGACCTGGTCCATTTGTAATGGACTCACATTGGACTGGATCGGATAACCAAATCCAGTTCAATTGACACCCCTAATGTAGACTTTCTGTTAATAAAGCATAGTAAGCAATTTTATTTTTTTATAAGTTTGAAGGCATTCATTATCGAGAGCATTACAGACACACACACACACAACTATTTACAGAATCTTTCACTCTCAGTACCTTTAACAAGTACCATTTTCATGTTGTTATGATCTGAACGATTATTGATCAAAAAAAAATTCTGATATAAATATTTTTTTATGAAGAATGTAGTCTGGGCCTTTTGGTACATTATTGTGTACTATGCGTCTAGCACTAGTGCCACTTTTATAGAAGAGTACAGAGACAAACCAGGTTCATTAGTGACATCCATAAACAAGAATGTGGTATCATCGGTTTGTGACCAAAAAAAGTAATGAAGTCTTATGATTTAGTTTCTCATGTGTGTGCAAGAGTATAGATTTATTAAAAGGCTATTGGTCCGGTTCAACCTGATTTGAACTAAACCAAACCAGCCTGGTCCAACCTAGGTCATAGGTTAGTAAACCAAGCCAAACCTTGAATTAAACAAGTAGTAAACATTTGGCTAATTCGAAGAGCAAAAGAATTAAATATTAGCCGCTTGATTCTGGAAGGTGATTCGAAGGTGGTGGTTAATTGGTTGAAGACAGAGGACAGTGGTTTGTGGAACTTTAACAATGAGAAAAAACAGTTCTTATGGCTGGGTAGGGACATTGAGATTCAGTACAGCTGGGTGAAGAGGAGTGCCAACTCATTTGTGGATGGGTTGGCCAAGCAAGGAGTGAATAGGGAGGCTGTTTTTTGGGCTAGTTTTTAATTTTCTTTGCATTTCCTGTGTTTTCTGTTTTTGGGGAGCTAAGTTATTTTATCTCCCTTTGTATTCTTTTCCCTCTCTTCTCTTAATTTAATGAAGATGATGTTATTGATCAAAAAAAAAAAAATAGCTGCCACCCATTCTGGCTTCCAAATGGAACTCTAGATCTTTGTGCTCACCCTTGGACCAGGATCTGAACTCTCTCCCTCCCTCCATCCCTCCCTCCCCCCTCTCTCTGACCACTGCATCTGTGGAGTCCATCTTCTTACAGTGTGAGTTTGAGAATAGATTGTATACTGGTTTGTAACTGAATTAAAAGTTCCTTTGGTACATGCCTTCTTCCATGCTCTCTAGTCCCTACTTCCCACTTGTAACAAAGTCTTGGAAAACTATATACAAGGATTTGACAGGTGGCAATCTGCAGCAGGTTGCTGATGGAAACAAGAAAGGAAATGAATCAGCTTCAACAGATGGAAGGAAAGAGGGTATGAAAAGATTGTGGGTGTTATGGCAGAGGAGGTTCAATGGGTGATAAATAAAGGGGTTTCAGAAAAAAAGGAAGAAAGAGAAGAGGAGGAGAAGAAAGGTTTTGAGGTCAAAATTGCTGAGAAAGTGGCTGATGGGGATAAGGTAGGAGAGGAGGTGGGGCAACAGGTTTTGATGGAAGAGGTTGAGGATGATCACATGGGGTATCAAGGAGATTGGTTCAAAAGGGGGTGAGATTTTGAAAGATGACAAAGGAGGGCAGAAGGAAAAGATGGAGGTGTTAGGGGGATGGGTGCAAAAAAATGGGATGAAGTTTGGTGTATCTGTGTATAATCTGAAAAAATATAGAACCTTCCCCCTTAATGATGGTAGAGGAGAGGAATCTGAACCGGAAACAGGGGAAGATAGTGATGATGAGATTTAAATAGATGAGACTCACACTGTAGGGAAAGTGATTGATATTGAGAAAGTAGTTAATACGGAAGTGGAGGTAAGCAAAACTCCAGGACTATTCTTCTTTGGTGGGGAAGAGTTCGCAAGGAAAGCTTTTAGAGAGATGAAGGAAAAGAGTAGGGAGAAAGCAAAAATCAATAAATCAGTAAATGAGTCTAGCTGTAATTCTCCAGATAAAGCAACAGCAGATGGAGCTTAAAGGAATAACATGAGGAAGGAGAGAAGGAAGAAAGGGTTAAGGAGGTAGAGAGGAGAGAGGAAGGTTCAGGCAATATAAAGAAAGCTGAGAAAGTTCCTAATGCAGTTAGACAATTCAAAAGCCAAAACAATCAAGCATTAGATTCAGGTTTTGAAGTTTTTTGCCAGGTTAATAGGGGGCCTATTGGGGTAGGTCCTACTAAGATGGGGTTGTTTATGGTGAGGGGGCCTATTGCCGGTTATGGGGTTTTTGTCTGGGATTGTTTATGGTGAGGGGGCTCTAGGTGTTTGTTGGAATCTTGTGGGGTTAAGGCAGATTATTAGTAACTTTTTTTTATCAATTGTGGGATTCTATTGTAAGGGTAATTGTTTGAAGGGCCAAATTGTGGCATTAAGGGGACGCTTTAATAGGGTTATTGTTTTCTCCCAGGTGATTGTTTATCCCCTTTCTATGTATTTTCTATTTTTCCATTTAATAAAATTGTCTTTTACCTTCAAAAAAAAATCTTGGAACTGTGGATGTTGTGCAGTTTACAGTTGTCTGTATTAGTATTGTGCAGAACTGTCACTTTAGAACATTTCTGGTGTTAACTTACATATATATGATTTGGTTTTGCTAAATGTGTCAGAATAAGAATACGAATATGACTTCATTATCCATGCAGAAACAACATCCTGTGTTCACTTGAATTTTTTTATTAATTTAAACATCAATAATAATGTCAGTAATTAAAGAAATCCAAAACAAATACAATCGGGTTGGGAGCTTGAATGATATTCCATTTTTTTGCTTTTATTTTATCACTTCCTTGTTCCTTCCAGCTTTTTTTATTGAAAAAAAAATGTGTTAATTCCATAGAGATTTTTCTTGAACTTGTTTACTGTTTTTAGTAGTATTTTAATTTTATTGTATTATGTTTTATTTCTTTTTTATTTTTAAGTGGCATTCTCTAAGGCCTTCAGATGCTCTTGTGGTGAAAAGTAGGTCCAGCATTTGAATTCAGCGGCAACAAACTTACATTCTGTCATTTTGAGTTTAAAATTGAATTTCATGCGTGTTCAGGTTTGGAGGAGTGCAATGAGATATGCTATAAGGATCCTGTTTTGAAAGATCAACAGTGGAGTGCTTACATTGATCGCTCTCCAGGAGCTGAGCAATACTCAATGGTCCTTCCTTTAATCACACCCTTTTTCTTTGTATCCATGCCAAGCTGATTCATGCAAGTTAAAAGATATTGTATGTTCAGGCATCAATTCTCTTCTCCTATCTGTCATTTGGCGGTGGTACTCAACCATCAATTAAATCAAAGGAATGTTTAGTCATGTAGGAGGTCAAACTTTTGGGCTTTTTTAGGAATTTTACTCAGGATACACTCATACACCTCAACCCACTCCACCAGCAATGAACATATATCAGCTACCACTCTTTGTAGCTCAAACCTTTCCTTAAAAAATCTCTGTTCCTCTCTTTCCTAATGCACCAACAGACCACAATTTTTATAAGATTTTAGCTTTCTTTCCTTCTGTATGTATATACATACATGTATGCATGCATGCATGTATGCATCTGTGTGTGTGCCATTATATACATATTATTTATAACCAAAGTGGTAAAAAATAAGTGGTTGGGTCTTTTTCTTTTCAGTTACCGGCTAGAGGTTTATCATATGTCATTAATACTTTAGTGTTCTGACCAATGTTTTAAAACGCGGAGGCGTGACGCGAGACGTTCCACTACCTAGAGGCGTGAGGCGTAATTCAGAATGCAAGAGGCGTAACCCTCCCGAACACAAAGAGGCGTAAGCCTTCTTAAGAGGAGGGGGGTTAGGAGGAGGATGAAGAGGAAGGGGGGATCTCATTTTTTCTTTATTTTTAATAAAAATCTTTTATATTGAGAAGAATAAAGATGCATAACAGTAGTTCAAAGGGGGGGTCTTGTCGAAGTGAAGGCGAGCTCGCTCGCCAAAGTGGAGCAAGACCCCCCATGGGCTGCATCGAAAAGGGGGCGGGGGGCTGGGGGCGAAGCCCCCCAACCAAAGGGGCAGGGGGCAAACCATTTTCTTTCCCCTTATGCCTTATCTTTTCTTCCCTTCCTTTCCTTTTCTTTTCTTTCCTTTTCTCTTTTTTCCTTCTCTTTCCTTTCCTTTTCTTTCCCTTTCTTTTCCTTTCCCTTTCTTTTCCTTTCCCTTCCTTTTCTTTCCCTTTCTTTTCTTTTCCYTTCCTTTTCTTTCCCTTTCTTTTCTTTTCCTTTCCTTTCCTTTCCTTTTTTTCTTTTTTCTTTTTTCTTTTTTCTTTTTTTTTCCTGTATTTTCATATCAGGTGTGCATGAGGCGCAAGAGGCGTACGCCTCTAGCACACCTCATGAAAAAAGCGCAAGAGGCACCTGAAGCGTATGCCTCAGAGGTATCAGCACCTCTGGCATACGCCTCAGGGCGTTTTGGGAGCGCCTCGCCTGGAGGCGCGTCTCCAGGCGTACGCCTCCCACGCCTTTTAAAACACTGATTCTGACTGGATGCTTTATTTGTGCCATCTCCTGGTGGTAGAATTATGCATGCTTGCTTTTCTAATATATATTATACTTTCTGCATACAGGAATGCTTCCAAGCTTGTAAATCTGGGTGTGGTTACAAGGTCAGTATATGTTATAAACCAACTCTGTTGTTGCAATCAGTCATTTTAATTATGAGGTTCCAGAAATTTTTTAATTGTAGCAAAGCACTTCTCATGTGATTCTTTCACTCAGAGAATTTTCTGTCACACTACTGAAGTTGTTTGTGAAAATGACCACATTTCTTGGTTGAACAAAGGCACAAACTCCGCATAAAATCAATGGAAAATCTCAGTACCTACAGAGACCATGTCTTGAAGTTCCTGCTATTACATTTCTTCCTGCATGACTTCTAGAAAACTTCTTAGATGTCTTGACAACTTCTACAGATTATTCACCTTTTCTATTCAAAAGACAATAGGTTAAGTGTTTTTGTATTGCAGAACTTTATTCAATGCATTAAGTTTCTTTGTCCTTGTTGTGGGGTCATCCTAATTCCTAAGAAAAATGAGTTTGACCTGTAGATGTGCTTGCAGGTTGGATGCATTAATTACAATTATGTTATAAAAGCTCAATTCTTACAAAACATGATAATATAAAATCTCATTTCCGTTCAATGGATCACTTAGTACAGATATGATAATCAGATGGTCCCAGTCATTGGAAATAATGCTCTAGTACTGGAAAAGGTAAAAGGTCAATTATGAAAAAGGAGAACCCATCTGACAGAATATACAATGAATGGCAATTTTCATCTGGTTACTACATTTTAGGTTTATGATATCCTCAATGGCTACAAGCACCAATAGGGGGAATTCCAATCTTCATGAACATTTAGCTTGAGACTTGTGAAGAGGGAATTGTCACCCAATCTATACTAATATATCAAGATTGATGGAGTAAATATATCATGTTCTCATGGTTTATATCTTCAAAGTTTCTTTGATTACCTCAAATGTTCTAAGACAAATCAAACATTGTTTTTGTTCTCTGCCTACTGATAAAAAATGCTTTATTCTCTGCCTTAAATATATATTAATAATTGTTATGACTTGTTTCATGCAGTTTGATATTCCATCAGAAAAGGTTGGTCAAGTTAAGCCTAACAGGCCACCCAAGCCTTGTGTTGTTAAAAAACCTCCCCTACCTTCCACTGAACCCATCATTACCACTGAAGACATTCCCTGCACATCTGCATAGTGAGATATGATACACTCCACAATACATATGCACAAGGAACAATACAGACTTTTCCTGCTAACTCAATCTACTTAGGTAGTTTCAGGATCTTACTGCATCACCTTGCTGAGGTTGGAGTAGAATAGTTTACCATCCCTTTTGCTGAAAGGAAAAAAAGAAAAAGGTTTTTTGTTTCCTTTCCCTCCACCTCCACCACCAATCCAAGTTATTTGAGTTTCTGCTGACTCAAAAATAGGTTTGGCGGGATTTTTGGTGGCAGCCATTAGATAACTGAACTGTAACTGTAGTCTCTTCATTGGTTAATGATGCATAAACCCATTGACAATGTAGGAGATAACAACTGTGTCATGTACCAATAAACCCACTGTATCTGTTATAATTTCGACATTAATATGTACAATCAAGATTGTATTAGCTCACCCAAGCATTGTATCTTTGCATGATTGCCCACTGTTTTTCTCTTTCTTTTCTTTTTCTTCTTGGGGGGGAGGGGCCTTTGATGAATTCGGATCAGCTACAACACACGGTGCCAACAACAGCAACCCAACCTGCCATTGCTGCTGCCCATCGGGAGCATCTCCTCGTCATCATGAGATGTTCCCAATGTGTGGCTGTAGTGGGCAGTTAGGACAGTGTTGGAGTGTGTTGGTAGCAGATCCCTACCCACCTTTGATGTGTGGTTTCCAGTGTATAGCCCAATATCTGTTGTGCAAGTGATGTTGCTGATCGATACTAGCTTGCCTTTAGCCCTTCAGATGATTAGTACTTCTAAAAGCACGGGGAAGAGTTTGGATCTGATCCCAACACAGGGTCCCAACAACCATTGTAGCCGCCATGCATCAGAAATATCCCCCTTGTCTTTCATTGCGAGATGTTCCTAATGCACGGCTGTAATGGCTGTTGGGACCGGACTCGAAAAAGGAATAGCTGTACATTGCTGATCGGTGCTCATGGACAAGGTCAATCTAAAGAGTCCTTTACTGTGGATGGCCTGGCAAAATCATTTTCCACAGCTGAAACAGGATTAGTTATGTTGGGAAAAAAAAAAAGTCCAAACTGATTTATGTGCCAAAAAAAAAGCGGTCTAAGCCTAACTGATTTATTTTTTGGCACATAAATTATTTTTCCCATGTTCACAACTTCAGAGTTCAGTGACCTGACACCCTGTCAAACCCCAATCTGGTCTTTAAGACATGAGGCCCCTGATCATATTCAAATTTTAACATCGCATATATGAGAATACGATCCCCATAAAAGGTTTCAGAAAACAGTAACAACCAATGATCAAATTTATGGTTTCAGAAGACAGTAACCAACAATCAAATTTATGCCAAAGCTTTTCAACAAGAACAAAAATCTACTTGTCCAAATTCTGTTACAATGGGATCAATATGGTGCCAAATATCAGAGAACATGATGCATTTGACAAGCACTAAACTAATTATTCTCCCAACTCATAAAGTTTGTGCCCAATGGCAAATATCAGTAGACGAAAGACACAGGAGGAGATGTACCGTAGACCACGATACTTGGACCAAAGTTGAACATGGAGTGGCAAAAACAGAACTAAGATGCAGAGGAGAGAGATAGAGCCCGTGGCCACAACAATGCATCCGAGCCAAATAGGTTTATGCACCACCAAGTATACCCCTGCTGCAAATGCTATAGCCATCATCGTGAGCGCCATGCCCAACAGAGGCAAACTCAATTTGAGGGCAAACACCAACAAGTCATAGTCACCCAATTGTGCCCAGATGAGGGTGACTACTAGGATCATGGAAACATACATTGCTAGGGTGTTGGAAATCACAAAAACATGGAATGTAGGCTTTTCGTGTAGAACCGCCATGCCTTGGTTTGGTTCATCATTTCTGTAACCTCCAGGCATTGTGACCCCTGCAGCAAAGGTGATAGTGGCAACAAGAGTTGCCACAAGCACAAGAGTGTTGATCCTGTCTTTGTAATAGTCCATTTTGTTTTTGCCATCTTGTGTTTCCTCCTGCCTCTGTCCTTCAACGATGGATCGGCGCCGACCTCGTGGTGCACCAGCAGTTCTCAAGGCTGTTAGTGTAAGCAGCTGCACAACGGAATTAAAATCATAAAATGTAGGCGTTTCTTCTTAACTAGCCATCAGAGATCCAAAGTAAACCCAGGATTGCTTGGTCGTAGGGCTGTTCATAACATCGACAAACCGAACAACCCAATCCAACTCGACCTGAGTTGGTTAGTTTTTAACTATTTTTTATTGGCTTCGGATCATGCATTATGCTAACCTGAGAAGTCAGGTCGGTTTTGGTTTGGGTGTATAAATCAACCAAAATTATATATATATATATATATGAAAAAGTGGAAAAGTTTTCATTTTTCTTTGTTGTTTTACATTTTGTATCCAATCAACCATGTTTTCTAGTTTAACAAATTAGTTTTGGACTGTCTTTTGAACCAAATGGATAAACCAATTCAAACTGATTTTACCCATTGGTCGGGTTTTCATTAATGGTAAGTCAATTGCAGGTGGCCAATTCTCCAACTTGACCAAGTTGGTTCCTTCGGAGTTTGGACAAACAACATGCAACAAAATCGATCGAATCATAAACATCCCTACTTGATCGTTTACTGAGCAAACTGTCTTAACAGATATCAGACATTAGTTGAGTCACTGAAGGTGATTTACCTTTCGAAATGATGTTGGTATGAGGATATCCTTCTCTGCAATGTCTAGAGCTGTGGAGCCTTCATTGTTCATGACAATCATGTCTACTCTTGCATCATGCGCGAGGATGTTGACGATTTTTGGGTGTGAGTGCATGGTAGCCAAATGCAGAGGTGTATTCCCTTCGTTGTCAGTCTCATTTATGAGCATCTCTAGCGCTGGTGTTCTGAGAATGTAAGTAACTAGTTGATCTTTTCCGCTCTTAGCGGCAACATGAAGAGCATTCTGGCCGTTTCGATTTAACAACTCTCTCGACTCCAAACAATGCCCAAGAAGAACTCTAATTATGTTGGTGTGGCCTTTACTAGCTGCCATATGTATTGGAAAGCGGCCATCGTTGTCCTTCTGATAGGCAGCGGAAGTGTCTTCTCTCAGTAAGCAAAGAGCCCCATCTGCAAAACCAAATGTTGCTGCGTAGTGAAGAGGAGTTCTTCCGTCATCATCTTTTGTGTTGATGAGCTCCTTTCTCCCGGACGCTAGTACATTGACAACAGCTGCATTTGGGAAACACGAGAAACTCTGATTTTTATTTCTTTCTTACTTCATGAAGTTCCCTTTTTAATAGGGTGTAAACGGATTGAATCCGAATCAAATCAAGCATTATTTAAATTCGAATCCAATTAGAAAATTAATTTGATATTCAAATTTGATTTGATATCTGATATATATTAAAAATTAATATTTGATTCTACTTGAATTCGACTAATTAATTATTTTAGATAATTAATAAATATTTTATTTATATAAAGTATATAAATTATTTATATAATTTAATTATTATATATAAATTATATAAGACATTTAAATATTTTATATATTATATATAAGAATTAAATAATCGATCGAATTTGAAAATTTATTGAATCAAATCAGGTCGTATCCGAATTCGAAACCGATTAACTATTTGGTATGAATAGGATATCTGAATTCGATCGCTTAGATATTCGAATTATTCGAATTATTCGAATTTAATTCAATTACGTCGAATCTTGAATTCGAAATCGGATTTTTGAATGCCGTTGACACCCCTACTTTTAATGCCCTATCTGATAAAGAAAGCAATGAAAATTTCTACAACTCACCATGACTTTTTTTCATTTCTCTTAAAATCATCAACTTTTCAAAACCTTTAATATTTTACATGACCAAACTACCCATAAAATAGCTAGTCAACTTTATTAAATATTTTTATAACAAAATTACCCTTAATTGCTCATATATAATAATTGTGCATATATATTTTAAATATATGTGGGTTGGGTCAGGCCTAGGCTGGCTTGAAATATTAGGCCCAAACCCGACTCTAAAATTTGCAGGCCTAGTGTGGGCTCGGGCCCAGGTCAGGTGCAATTTTATCATAAATATATATATATATATATATATATATATATATATATATATATATATATATATATANTATATATATATATATATATATATATATATATATATATATATATATATTTAATAATCTTGATCAGCCATTCAAGGGTAGTTTGGTCATGCAAAATACTTGAGGGAAATTGTCTAAAACTCACCATGACTTTTCAGCATTTCTCTTAGACTCAGCTATAACTTTTCAAAACGTCCAAGGAACTCCATTTTAGTAAGTTAAGATTAAATAGACTAATGGATGTTGGTTGATTACTATTTTACCCTTTGTTCTATTGAAAATGAAAAATAAAGAAAAAATTTGATAAAAAATAACAAAAATATATCTCATATATTTCAATCTAAATATTTTCCGCCCATTTTACACATTTAAGTAAAAAGGGAGCTTCAAATAATACAAAAACACTTTTGATTCAAATCAAACTCATCTGACACTCCATATCTATGGCCAAGAAGAGGACACGTGTCTTTGTAGGACCCAACATCCACTTCTATCATATGTCAGTTAGAACAAATGTGTTTTGAACAAAAATTAGTCTGACATAAAAATATGTTTAATAAGGCTGGCATGCCATTCTGGGGCAGTTTGGTCATAAAAATTGCATTTATGCTAACGTGGATAACTTATGTCAATGAACACTAACAGTGCTCTAACAGATGGTGAGTTTTGGAAAACAAAAAGTCATTAACATGGGGTTCCTTGAATGTTTTGAAAAGTTATGGTGAGTTCAAGAGAAATGCTGAAAAGTCATTATGAGTTCTAGACAATTTCCCAATACTTAAATACTTGGATAATTTCTATTAATGGTCACTAACAGTGATCTAACAGAAAACAGAAGGTGAGTTTTGGATAATAAAACTCACTAACGTGGGGCTCTCTAGAGGTTTTGAAAAATCATATGATAATTTTAAGAGAAATGTGAAAAAGTCATGGTAAGTTTTAGATAATATCTAAAAAATAAACAAAAAAATTAATGATTGTGATTTAAGCAAACCGAGCAATTAACTGATGAAGCGGGTACAAAAACCTGAAGAGGGGCATTTGTTCAGGTAAATGCAAAAATTTAGATGAGAAATTAATTCCCAATAAATTTGGTGTCTATTTGAAACTGTTGTTGTTGCTCCATAAAACAGCGCCACATCAGCGCCATGTAGGAAAAAATGGTGCTCCAAGAAACAGCCTTCTATTTAGAACCGTTTTTTCATAAACGGTGCTCCAAGCCACGCCTTGAAAATCAGGAAGGCATGGCTTGGAGCAATGCCAAATTTGACATCTCCTAGAGCTGCAACTCGTTGCTGCCAACAAAGCAGTGATGTGGCAGTGAATAATGGGTAGAAGTATAGAAAACGTTTCCTGGAGTTGCAACTCGTTGCTGCCAACAAAGCACCGATGTGGCAGTGAATAATGGGTAGAAGTATAGAAAACATTTCCTGGAGCATTGGTACCAAACAGAAAAAGTTGCTATTGCTCCAGGAAACGTCCTACCTGGCAAGCAACTATTCCAAAACAAAAAAAGGCACCGTTTTCTCACTGCAACTGCAGCATCGATGCCAAACATATACTTGATTTTCTTGTGAAAACCAGAAACATTCACAGTTTTGATGATTTATTTTATGTAAGAGATAATGAATTTTATTTTTTCATATATAAGACCCACGTTTTACGCAACAAACTAAGACCCTGTTTGTTAAGTTTATTGTAATAGATTTCTTTCTTAAGACCCATGTTTTATCCAATAAATTAAGACTACGTTTGTATTCATTTATCTAGATAAATATGTTTACCCAAACAAATAGATAAATTTTGCTTGAATAAACAAGCTTTCAGCGTTCTTCTACGCTACCAATTTCTTAGGCAAAGAGAGGTGAGAGAGAGAGAGAGTCAGAGAGCGTGCATGTATCGACTTTGCAGGAATGAGACCGGATCTGCACTTCACACAGAGCGTCTCACACCTGCTTTACAGATATATCTTGCCATGCATTTGGAACATCTCCCACACTTATACGTTATTATATATTCACAGTCCATTGTATGGTGATGAGATGTACATGTAATGTCGGTGTGAGGCGCCATGTATTATGTTGAATTATTGTGGTACCCAATATAATGATGGTAAATGATCGTAGATACTAGGGTTTCTAGCATATAAGGGCAACTTTTTGGGGTTTAATATCAATAAAAGTAATATATTTATAAAAAATTCAAAAATAGGTTAACCTTTGAAAAATAATATTAATAAAGGGCAAAAACATTGTTCATTTTCTTCTTCTCGCCATTTGTTCACCAGAGTTGTTGTCCGCCGCCACCCGCCACCGTCATCCACTTTCGCCCGTCGCCGCTTCCGCCTCCAGCAATGTTACCGGAGGTGGCCGGAGGTAGAAGTGACGGCGGCGGCGCTGGTGGTCATTCCTCTGCCCACCACCGCTACCACCTCTGTCTCCACCCATCTCTGGCAACATTGCTGGAGGTGGCGGCGTTGGACAGAAAAACCACCAATGCCGCCACCGCCACCTCTGCCTCCGACCACCTCCGACAACATTGTCGGAAGCAGAGGCAGAGGTGGGCAGAAGTGGCAGCGGATGGCGATGGCGGGTAGTGGCGGGCGGCGGTAGACAGCGGCTCTGGTGAACAAATGACAAGAAGAAGATGATGAACAGTGTTTTTATCCTTTATTGATATTATTTTTTAAAATTTAACCTATTTTTGAAATTTTTAAATATATTACTTTTATTAATATTAAACTCCAAAAATTGCCTTTATATGCTATTACGCCTAAGAAAATAATATATACATATATATATTTAAGACTTTGACCTACTCAGCTAAGTAACATATCGATATCATGGGTGATCAGGACATTTGACCTACTTTTATTTGGCAGCAAGGTGCCAAACAGTTGGTTGGTAAGATCTCCTATTTGAGGGACGGACCTGCATTAGAGTTAGAGGTCCCATGACTCAGTGACCGAGGTCCCATGACTCAGTGACCTGGGCTGGATTTGTACTTGGACCAGGAAATCTCCACCAGGACTAGCCCATTAACAGTTGGGCATATGGGCTTGCGCGAGAGAGAGACAGAGACGAACCTGTGTGCCGCCGAGCAATGGCGGCGTGCAGAGGTGTCTGACCATTTGGACCTCCATAAATGTCTTGAGAAGTATCTTGCAATGGAAACTGCAACATCTGCTGCACAAAATCGAGCAATCCACGGTCAGCAGCCAAATAAAGTGGGGACTCGCCGCTTCTGTTGACGGTGAATGCCGACCGGGGGTCATGCTTCATCAACACCTCCGCCACCGCACGGTGCCGTCCTCGAACAGCTTCGTGCAGGGGTGTGTTCCCCTCTATATTTGGTACTCTCAATAGAACATTCGCATCACCTTCATCTTCAGCATTGTTCATGGTGTCTGTGGAAAATGAACAAATGAAATGTGTCGCCCAGTCAATGAGAAACGTGACCATAGATATATTTCCAGTTCTCGCAGCGATATGCAGTGCAGTGTCTCCCCTGAAGTTCTTCTTTTCGATTGCATCTGGACAATATCGGTAGATCAGTTCCACCAGGGCGTTACTGTCAAAGCTCGCGGCAATATGAAGGACTGTGTTACGTTTTGGCCGGCTCAATTGCAGGAGGATGCCCGGTTTTTCTTCTGCTAGTTGCCGGAGGATATGGACTTTGCCTGTCGTTACTGCCTCGTACAATTTAGGATCCATACTGTAAATTTTTCCTCTCTCTCTCAACCTCAACCCCTGCTAGGGATTTGTGGACAGAATTCCTTGTACCAGTAGCAACTGTTGTGTTGGGAATTTGATCCGAAATCTACCACCAGAAGGTTCGCTCTCAATATTCCTCTCTCTGAATTTAGCACTCGGCCACTGTCCGAGACTCTGAGTTATGAGTTGCTTGTTGACCATATAGACGGCTCCCGATCCTATGGGTATCTATCGACTGCAATATTGTATTCCGTTGAAACTTTGACATCTGTTTTTTGACAGGTAAATCAAAATATATTAAACTACAGAAAGAGTTGCAAACGAGTTTACAGGAGGAAGAAACGAGGGATAAAAAGAAAAGAAAACACGATCCTGCACTGTGTTTTTACACCAATTAGCGAGATCATGTGCAGGACCATTATACATCCTCTTAATATGCAAACATTTAACACTCAAAAAGTAACAAAAAAGATTTAGAAGTTTCTGTGAGAAGTCCCATGTGGTGCCAAGAAAGATTCCCTCGTTGGTGAGAGCATTAATAATGAGTTGGGAATCAGAGCATATCACTATATGATTTTTATTCATTTGGTCGGCCAACAAGATTTCTTTATTGATTGGGTGTACATGTTGTAAAATAGTAAAGAGAGAGCAAATAGAACTTATCGGTAATCGCTTTCATTTGTTGATGTTGCAGTGATTTGAAGTTGTTATAGAAACTCGAAACTGGAAATTGCAGGAAGATGGAGGGTTGAGTCGTGCCATTTGGTCACTCTCCTTAAAACCGTATTTGCCCCATACAGTGCAGCCGGGTAATCGCAAATCGATCGCCAAAATAAAATAGCCCACAAGCCACTGGTAGGTGTGCACTCGCTTACCAGACCTCTGCGAACCACTGAAGATTGATGCTCAGATTTCTCAGAGAAAAGAAAGTCGAAATGGTGTGTATTCTTTCTTTTAGGTTCAGGTATTCCAATCTTTGCTAGGCAGCCCCAAACCCTTAGATAGTTCAAACTAGGTTTTCTGTTATGCTAAAGTTCAAAGGGAATCTGTCATTTATTCTTACGTGGTACTCTATTATATAAGTGATACGCCATTAGAATTGCTTCCCCCCACAAATTCATAGGTGCACCTGAACTAATTAGCATTGCATTCATCATTTCTTTTAATCTTTCTACAACTCCATTAAATTCAGGTTGATAGGGAGCTATGGTTTCATATATGATTCAATTTTCTTCAAAGAATTTTCTAATGGTTTGTCCATCATATTCAGTTCCTCTATTTATTCTAAGTCTTTTTATTTTCTTTTCTAATTGATTTTCTACTCCATTTTTGTGGTTTATAAAAACTTGATCAGCCTCATCTTTTGATCTAAGTAGAACTACTTTTGCATATATAGAGAAGTCATATGTAAATGTTATATAGTATCTTTTTCCTCATCTAGTTTCATGACATTTAAGGTCTCCTAGATCACTATGTATAAGTTGTAACAAGTCAGTTTCTCTTTGTACATTTTTATGAAGTTTCTTGATAAATTTTGCTTCTACACATATTTGGCATTTTTCATTTGTAAAATTAATAGGAACATTCAAAACTCTTAATTTATATAAGCGTTTTAAATAAGGAGCACTACGATGTCCTAGTCTAGTATGCCAAATATCAAAATATTCAACAATATAAGCAGAAGAAGAAGCAGTTTTATTCATAATAATATCAGAGATGTTCAGTACAAATAATCTACCAGCATTGTACCATTTCCAATAAATACATTATTTTTAGTCAACATGGCCTTGTCTGCTTCAAATGTGAGTTTTAGTCCTACTTTGTTGAGGAGTGCTCCCAATACCAAGTTCTGTTGGATCTCCAGCACATGCAGTACATCATTCAACATTAGGATTTTTCCTGAAGTCAATTTCAGGAGCACTTTTCCTTTGCCGATGACCTTCGAAATTTGTGAATTTCCCATGAAGACTTGCTCTCCTTCAGATAGAATTGTATACTCATAGAAGGAATTGTGGTCTCCACAGATGTGCTTGGTAGCACCAATGTCCAGTACCCACTCCTTCAGCTTATCAACTAAGTTTACTTCAGTTACCACTGCTGCAATAACATCCTCAGTCAAATTGACTTTCGGTTTCCCAAAATCCTTCTTCTTCCGGTATCGACAATCCTTGTAATGTTTGGGTTTGCCACATACATAGCAGTTCTCTTTTTTTTGTTGTTTCTTGAATTTCTGGTCATTTTTCACATTCAAGTTCTTTTTGAATTTTGTAGTCTTTTCTTCCACCAGATTGGTTTTGGAAAACTTGTCCTCATCTTTCTTTCTATTCTTTTCTTCAATCTTAATTCGAACCACTACTTGGTCCAAAGTAGTGTCCTTCCTCTTGTGTTTCATACTAGTCTTGAAATCATTCCAAGTATGTGGTAGTTTCTCTATGAGAGAACCGGCAATGAATTCATCTGGCAGTACCATGCCTTCTTTTGCCAGTTCCCCCACAAGAACCTGGAACTCATCTATTTGAGCAGACACATCTAAGTCTTCTTTCATAGTGAAGTGCAGGAAGTTGGCAATTACATATTTCTTGTTTCTAGCATTTTCTAGAGCATACTTAGTGCCCAAAGCATTCTAGATTTCATAGGCATAATTGTAGGAAGAATAAACATTGTATAGTTCATTGGACAAGCAGTTTAGGATATGGTTAATGCAGAGGTGGTCGGCTGCAGTCCAATGTTCTGCAACAACAGAACGGGTTGGTTCATCCACGCTTATTGGGTTTGGTTCAGTCAAAGCGAATGCTACCTCTAACTGTTCTAAGGCAAACAATAGGCGTTGTCTCCAACGCTTGTAATTGGTTCCATTGAATGGTTCAATTTTAGAGAAATCAGGAACTGTTGATAGTATCCGATTCCTCATAAAGGGGTTAGTAGAGATAGGTTCCATAAATACAGTTTTAAGAATGTTGTAATATAGTAAAGAGAGAGCAAACGAAACTTATCGGTAATCGCTTTCCTTTGCCGATGTTGTTGTGATTTGATGTTGTTGCAGGAACTCGAAACTGGAAATTGCAGGAAGATGGAGGGATGAGTCGTGCCACTTGGTCACTCTCCTTAAAACCGTATTTACCCCCTATGGTGCAGTCGGGTGATCGCAAACCGGTCGCCAAGATAAAACAGCCCACTGGTCACTGGTAGGCATGCACTCGCTTACTAGACCTCTGCGAACCACTAAAGATTGATGCCAAGATAAAACACCCATGCCCACACCCAAGACCCGACCCGGCCCGGCTCGACTCAGCTAGGCGTACGCGTGAGAAAAGCACCCCCACCCCCCCTCACATGCATGGAATATCTCTAGTCCTCTCCTCCTATGGGTCCCTACCCATAGAGGGAGCAAAATTACAAATATAATCTACTCCTACATCTTTCCCAAGCAATGTGGGACAAGGAGTCATTCAAGGGAGGAAAGGACAAAAATAAAAGAGGGATGAGAGAAATTCTTGTAAATTTGAATCTCCCTCCAACACTGCGGACAGTTCAGCTTCTTCAATTAGGCTCAAAATAATTCTTCCTCCTGCAATTTGCAAGCATTCTAACTAATTTGTTAGACAAATAATTCCAAAGGAAAACAAAGAGGAAGAGATTTTCCCAACATCGGTAAAACTAATACAATCAGTTTGAGCCTTAAGAGAAATAGTCAGTTGCAAGGAAGAATTTTGGGGTGGATTCATTAAAGTCTGATTATTAAGATGAGAGAAAATAGAATTTGTCTTGTCGATAATCCACGTATTGGAGACAACTGAGTCTTTGAAAACCTTTTCATTTCGGGCAAACCAAACATAGTATAAAGCAACTGCATACCAACTCAGAGTGCGAATGAGGTCCCCTTTATGAGTAAAACGATGGGCAATAAGAATTATGCAATCAGACCAGTTTCGAATATTGGAAGTATTGAAATGAATATTCTAGGGGAGGCAAATAAGATAGATTGGACGAAAGTACACTCTAGGAAAAGGTGGTTTGTGGTTTCTTGGTAAGTTTGGCAGAATACATAGGATTGATCCTGTTGAGAGGAAAAAAATTTAGCTTTTACTGGAAGATAATCTAGAATAATACACCAAAGAATAAGTTGATAACAGGGTGGACAGAGTAGCTGCCAAATGATCTTGACACAGGAAGTTAAGGATTGGTTCAAAGAGGGTAGGTTTTCCTGACTTAGATTCTTGTAAGCTTTGGAAGTGGAATATTTCCCAGTGATATGGCCAGTCCAGATCCAGTGATTGGAAATATTATTTGGTAAAATTGGGGTAGGCTGGATATCCATAGCTTGAGAAAGATCAAAAAGAGAGTGAATGAGCGACGAATTCCAAGATCCATTTTGGATTAGATCAATAAAAGTCGGAGATTGAAAAGCTAAATTTAGTGGTTGCTGAATCATCCGAAAAGTATGATTGATTTGGATCCAAGGGACTTGAGCAACCAAATGAGGAGAATTTGTGGATACTAGATAACCCACTTCATGAAATAAGAGTTGAAGTTTAGGAGTTGTTGATTTCTAGAACAAAGAACTTGATTTAGGGATTTTCTGTGGAAAAAGTTCATTGGTATGAAGGTATTTGGATTTCCAAATTTGGACCCATCACTTGTGTTGTTCATTTAGATATCTCCAGGCCAATTTCTTTAGAAATATAAGACTTACCAACTTTATATCATGAAAACCTAGTCCTCCATGAGATTTTGGGAGAGAAAGTTTTTCCCAGGAACCCTAGTGATAAGGGTGAGAATTAAAAATTGTTTTCCCCCACCAGAAATTTTTAATGAGAGAGTCAATGGCTAAGATCGTCTTCTGGGGAAGTTGAACTACATACATGACATGATTGGGAATGGAATGGAGTACTGATTGAATAAGGACTCATTTGCCTGCCTGACTGATCGAAGAGGCCTTCCAAGAATTAAGCTTAGTTTCATATTATCTAGGAGGAAGGAAAGTTGATTATGTTTATTGCATCCCCAAAGCAAAGGAAGTCCTAGGTATTTGGAATTTTGATGAAGGGTTCTCATCTGTAATTGTCTCTTAATCATCCGTTCGTGACGAGGATGAACATTTTTACTAAAATAGATTTCAGATTTATCTAAGTTGATAAGTTGGCCCGAACTCATTTTAAAGAGGTCTAGAATATTTTTGAGATTGTCTAATTCCTCTCGGTGCCCTCTGATGAAGAGAAGAATATCATCAGCAAAAAGGATATGAGAAATTGAAGGAGTTCCTGGAGTTAACTGAATTCCTTTAAGCTGATTTTCAGATTCAGCTTTAATGAGTAATCTAGAAAGACATTTCATAGCTAGAATGAA